GCTCTGTTCATTCGTATCACATGGATCTGCCTGTTGGGAGAAGAAGTAGGGAAGGTTTTCTTGAAGTGCACCTACCCTTCTGGCGGGAAGGCTTGCTGGGATTGCTGGGCAGGTTTCTTCTGGAGGGTCCCATCTCTCTGGAGTAGCTGCAGTGGAGTTGAGGGCAGGTTCTCCGGTGAGGTAGGAATGTGCAGGAACTCCGCCCTCTGGGCACAGTCACACAAACCCAGCAAAACAGCCACAGCCAGCCCTAAAACCTCTAATGATCTTCACCTTCACCTCTTTCTAACCCAGTTCTCCACCACTTTTTGACCCATTTACCCAGACAACTTCAACACGGGGCGGGGAGGGAGGGGGGGACGCAAAACAAGAACATTTCCGTGCACAAAACTGCCGAGAAGCTACTACAGACACTAATGCATGGACAAGTGCCTCTATACGGTTGTGCGTGTCTATATGTATGTATACATACTTATTGATGAATTTGTAGTCTTGTAATATGTATGCGCATATACTTTCTTGGGCGGGTGTATTATTCGCGAGTATACAGTTAAGTACATAGCAGTGACTACCTACAGGCAGACTTTTTTTCCGTCCTAAGGGAAAATAAGAACAATTAAAGAATATAATCACTGCTAAAACAGTGAGTCTTGCTCAATGTTCTTTCTTAAGCGAAACTCTGATCTGGTTCAGTCAAAACGTAACTGCAGTTCGGTGGGAGTTTTGCCTGAGTGAATAGTGAATACGTGGTGATTGAGACTTCATATTAACACAAGTGGTGAGGGGGTGTGTACCTGAATCATAATTTCTGACATAAATCTTAATCATTAGAAGAAGTTATAAAGAGCAAAATGACGTCCTAGTTTGGTGTTTTGCTGTGGGGTTTTTTTTATTTCAAGTACCGGATTAAAAAAAAAATCACTCTCCCAAACAGTAGTTTTGTGCCATTTAAGGCAAAATATATTGTTGTTCACTTTCTTTCAAACCCTTTTGTAAGAATACATTCCACATAACAGATGCTATTTTACTGAAACAAAAGAAAAATATTTAAAATATGTCAAAAATTGGTTGGCTAAATATCTCATTGTGAATTCGAGTTACAGTTTATTATCCCTTAAACATGTTTGCGAAGGCAATCTTAAAATCGTAATTGGAGGTTTCTTGATGAGCAGATTTCTTCTCCTACGATCTATGCGAGCAAAGTTAATCACCTCAAACATCAGCTAGGAAAATAACAATAGCTCCTTAATTCCATAAAGATCACCCGTCCCCTATAACCACTCTAAATTAGGAAACACTAAAGAAACGACGCTAAAACACAGCAACATCCTAGAAATGTGCATACTTTAAAAAAAAATCCTAAAAGCTTAGCTTGAGGATTTGACACATAAACCACCATGGAAACAAGTATCAGATAACAGAATGATTGCCTGCTAAAAAAAAAAATTTAAAAAATAATAATAAAAAAGAAACAGAAGAATGAAAAAAACCTAACCAAAACCACCACCTCACATTCAGTACCAAACGAGCCTGCGCAAAAATTAGCCTAAAAGACATCCTCAGCGAACAAAAGCGTTTCTCTGGCTGGGGAGCAGGCAAAGGTAAATGCATATTTGGGGCCTTGGCAGTCCTGCTACACTCTATGACAACTTTACCACATTTTTTTTCCTTTACGAAGACAGTGTCCTTACTGGTAATATGTGTATGGAAACGTGAATAAACTACCAGCTCAACAACCACCCCTTCTCCCCAGTGTAAGAGAAAGAGGAAAAAGTCTGTGGCACCTGAACTGCTTAGGCAGCACTTAGCTGCACTGAACCTAAAGGAGCGCATTGAGAGCGAGTGCTCGCTTAAACGAAGTCTGGAGAGACACACATCAGGACTACCCTTTTCAGGAATTATTATGCATCACGCTTATCTAATTAATGCTTATTAGCCAACCCCTAACTCTGACATGGTGAGATTGTGCCTTCCACTAACCTGACTTGTCTTTTTCCTCCTTTTTATACACTGTCAGAGGACTTTTTTACATTGCGAACGAAATAATACTTGAAGTACATGCTATTGTATTTCCTACAGCATACAATCAATTGCAAGTGGTAAATAATAAATCATTTCCTTTGTCAGCTGCAGCAGATGCCATTCTTTTAATTTGCTTAGGCACAGGTATACAGAACGGGGTCTCGAGGCTTCAAGAGTTTACATCACACCTATTTCATTTTATTATTTCCAATAGGTTGTTGCAAAGGAGTTCTGTCTTTTATTTTTTTGCAATCGCTTCTTTTAATGACAATAGAGTGAAGAATATGGGGGAGGGTAGGCGCTTCCAAGTGGTGTTATCATCTCTTCACCCCCAAACAAAGCAACCTTTTTCTCATAGTGATGATTAATTTTGAATTGCAGAAGTGAGAGTGAAAGCCAAGAATATCAGAGATTTCTCTCCTTCTCCCCCACATAGTGCAGAGCTGGGTGTCCCATCTCTCATCCGTAACCTTTCACTCCTCTCTCTTTCCTACAGATCTGCTTGCATCTGTTTATTTATTACTTATTTTCGGAAGATTTCCCCTCCCTCCCCTTATTCTTTCAGCATGACAAATATTCTGTTTGCAAGAATTCAGATTTGATATTGCTTCTTTATTCACCCCACCGGCATTTTTTTTTTCTCTCTTTTTCTTTTTCTTCTTCTCTTCTGTGTTTCTAAGATCAGCTCTTTAAAGTGTTTGCGATAACATCTCCGAGCTAGAGATTATTTTTCATTGGGCCTATTGTGAGCAGTCGCCGGCTTATTGCACTGCTGCAGAGCCCAGTTTAGGCTTCACAAACGTAACAAATGAACAACTTGTCCTCTGCGGACTCACCGCGGGATCCAATTAGTTCCTAAACCTTTTGCACAAGTTTTCTAATTATTTTCAAGAGTTGCGGCTTTTATAGGCTTCCCTAAACTCATCAGAAAACCGATTCCTTTTAGGATTAAATGCTTCTTAAAATTAGTCGTAGCGTTGCCCCCTTAAAACTAAGGGATTGATTCTCCGGGCAACGGAGCGTACTTACGGACGCTTGCCTGGGCTAGTGGGCTGCAGCAAGCATTACCATCAGCAGGCGGATGGTGAAAAAGAAGTCCGTTTCAAAACTTTAAATTGAAGTACATCCACACAGGTTTGGGGGGTTTTGTGTGGATTTTGTTTGTTTGTTTGTTGTTTGGTTTTTTTTTCTTCCCTCTCTCTAAAACGTTTAAACATCGGTATGCAAGCCAGGGCGTCACGTGACCCCCTCCAGCCCTCTGCCTCACTGCAATGTACTGCAACTGCACCTCACCCCTGCCCGGCTCCTGCCCCCTCCGGGGGGCGAGAGGGGCAGAGGAGAGAGGTTCTAGCTGAAAACTATCTCTACTTCTACAACATTTAAAGCCAAAGTGTTTGCAGCATTAGAAGTATCTAAGTACCTATAGTATAGATACTTCCGGAGCAGTGTTCCTTTAAGGTAAGATTTGCGGTTTATACACATACGTACCCTAGGTTGCTAAATTTGATCAAGTGATTATATGAAAGCTAATATGTATATGTATATACACACACATACACATCCATAGTTAATAGATCTCCAGTTATCACAGAGTCGAAATTAACATCTTTCAGAAGAATAATTCTTCTGACTGCATTTCAGAGATTGCAAGAACAACACGTTATCTATCTAATAATTCACCTATTTTTTCTCCGACAGTATGCACATACACTTAAATTTATATGTATGTATATATATGTATATACATACGTACGCAGTTGTAAGCCTCTTCAACAGTTTTTAGTAAGACACCCTACATCGTACTAACAATTTTTAAGCAGACTTGTTAAAAGAGTTCTGCCCCAAAAGGGACATCACAATAGTGGCCGTGGTGTTTAATTAAATACCCTGATCCTTAACATTTGAAAATACTGCTGTTAAAGACAATATGATTCGGGGCGTGGGGAGAAAGGAGCATGTGAAAAATGGTGGACTGCTGTAATAAGCAGCGCTCTGATCTCCCTGTAACTTTAAAGGCTCTAGCATATTAATTTTAGTTAATAAAAAAGACAAAAAAACTATCAAGTATATATGAATTTAGCCTATTTTTTTATTTCTGTGTGTTCATAGTAAACATTTTTGTAAGTGACAAACACGGGCATATGACCACAGTATCACAATCAAGAAATTTTAAGACGACATTAACAATCACTCAAATTTATGCGGCATTTGCGCAACACAGGTTACATATTTGCAAGGTTTACCTATAAGTACAATAGGTATTAACATTTCACTACATTTAGAAAAAAAATAAAAGTGACCTGTTAGTGACCACATACATCAAAATATACACAACACAAACTGAAGGCAATCATTAATTTTGTCCCCTTCTGATTCATTTGAACGGGCAGTGCTGCAAACTGAAATAATGTTGCTGTTTTTTAAATTATTCCGTACACTGAGTGCATTTTCTAAAACCCAATCTTTGGTCTAAAAGTAAACAAACAAACAAACAAACAAAAAGAAAAAGGAACCAAAAAAAGCAGTTCAGTAAAGAAAAGGATAAAATAATAAATGGCCAAAATGTAATTATTGGGCATCTTTCAGTATTAATTCTGCTTAAATACAAATTACGTTTTAAGTTTTTTATAGTTTTCATAAATTTAGCAGTGTTGGTTTTTTTTTTCTTTCAAGGTCTGCACCCACCGACATATCCATGATAACTTATAATACTGCAAACATGGAGAATCTGGCGGCTTTTAGTGATAGACTTATCGTATTTGAATAAAAAATTGCAAAAGCAGTCACTATTTAGATACACATTCTACTATAATTTTGTCTTCCAAACTTCATAGTCTACAATGTAATCTCCCCACATTGCACCTTGCTGACACTCCTCACCTTGGTGGAATAATAAACAACCCTAAAGACTGAACAAACGTACAGAAAATGGGGGACTTAATAAAAAATACCTGGACTTTTTTGTTTTGCTTTTTTTTTCTTTTAATTATCATTTACAATGCAAATGTGTGTAAAATGTTCACTTACAGTCTGATCCCATGGATGTTAATGTATTAAAGGGTTTGAAGAAGACCCCTGATTTTGATGTGTGAAATAATCAGAAAGTCCTCCGGAAAGTCCCGTTGTAAAACTTGGCAAAGAAGGTCTTAAGGACTCACAGGGGAGAGTGGAAGGCGCCTGTGGCGACGTGGAGGAGGAGGCTGCCCTGGCCGTCATTGAAGTGCTGCTTTGAGAAGTCATTGAAGGGTGAGGAACATGGGGGAAAAAGTAACTCGTCTGTCCTGCTAGGAGGTTTACAGAGCAAGGGTTTAGGGAATAGGTGCCGGAGCAGGGAACTGACAAGCCACACGGCACTGAGGCGGCCAGAGCTGCTGCTGTGAGGTGATGAGTGGCATAAGGTATCTCTCCATTGACTAGTCTATCAACACTTAACCCATTAGACGTGGAAAAGGAGTGGTTGTTTCCCAAGGAGTTTTGAGTCAACACTGAGCTGTAGGGCATGGGGTGGCTGGGGTAGGCGGACGTGGTCCCATTGTAACTCAAAGTGCTGCTGGCCCGGGGGTGGTGCAGGGAGAGGAAGGGGGACATAGGCCAGTACAAGGATCCTGCCCTATCCATGAATGTCAGTCCGGTGGAGGTGAGCCGGGCGCCCCGCTTGAAGGCCAGCTTGGCCCGCGAGGTGGTGGAGCGCCGGCGGAGCTTGCCGGTGGTGCCCCCGATGAAGACGTCGTCGCTGGAGGGGTCCAGCATCCAGTAGTTCCCTTTGCCCGGGTCGTCGTAGTGGCGGGGCACCTTGACGAAGCACTTATTGAGGGAGAGGTTGTGGCGGATGGAGTTCTGCCAGCCCTGCTTGTTCTCTCGGTAGTAGGGGAAGTTCTTCATGATGAACTCGTAGATGCCGTTGAGCGTGAGGCGCTTCTCGGGGCTCTGCCGGATGGCCATCATGATGAGCGCGTTGTAGCTGAACGGCGGCTTTTCGTACTTGCCGTTCTTCTTCTCCCCCTCCTTCCCGCTCTCCCCGTCCTTGGCCCCCTCCGCCGCCCCCTTC